CTCAGTGACACAACACACTTCCCAGTACTTCAGCTGGCAGAGCTAAGGTACAATCAGCTACCCTCCTGCAGCAACCAGTGCAAGTTTGATGTTACCACCATCCTCTCCCCACCTCCCTTCCTGCCGTGCATCACCATCTTTCATCTGGAAGTCACGCTCCTCCTCAGGGAGCTGCAGCAGGACAGACTTCAGGAGAACCAGTGGTTTGCTCCACCATGAACTTGGCTACACTAGCCGGTATCACCACTGGTAACAACTGAAGCCATTATGATTAATGAGGAACGGGCAGCAGTTACAAGACCTGGAAATCTTTCACTGTATTTTCAAGCAGCTGCACATTCCCCATTCATCTTCATCTGGTCAGACCTGGTTGAACCTCCCTATTAGTGAGGCATGGTCCAGCACCTTCCTGCAAAAGCCCATTAATCGAAGGATGGCTCTTGTCTTAAGCAGTTGACATCTCTATTCCGTGGCAAAGCAAGGAGTTTCACAGTTTTCTCTTCCACTGGCTTTAAACAAAACAAATTATGTACCATTTCATCAGAGAAGCCTGCTTCTGAAGCAATGATGAGAACACAGAAGCACTACTCTTTAGAGACAGCCCAATTTAGTCAAATTCTGTATTTTTAATTACTATCAATTTCCTGGGCCGTTTAATGAGAAAGTGCATGGCAGTTACATTATCTTAGACCAACCTAAAGCTCTCCACAGCACTTCCAAGCTGATGACAGACAGTGTTCAGTCGTCACATGGAGTAACTGGAAAGGGTATGGGAAGTGATATGGAAGAACTGATGCTTACTTAAGTTTCCAGGCCATGTGGATTAAAACTTCGGTATAATTCAGAGGATAATAAATAGCTGGACACTATCCAGACCACAAGTACTTCATTGAATAAGGTGTGTAAATCAAGCTGACAATGAAAACTTAAAAAGATAAACTCCCAACTAGCCAATTTGAATCTAGTACTTGCGCTTAAGTTCAGTAATACATTCCTGAAAAAAAACAAGGTAAACACACAAATGCTCATGCTGAAACAGCAAATCCCACAAAACCAGGAAATGGTGGAACAGTACAAAGCACTCAAGAAGCTCAGTTCTTCCAGCATAGAAGCCAAATCTGTGTTCTGTGTGAGTCAGATATTTCTGATGACACCATGTGAGCAAAAGGCAACAAGGTAAGAGAAAATTGACAGACAATAGCAAAACCAAGATTTGTCTCATTTTGTAAAGAATAAAATTGTAGCATAAATCATGCATAAAGCTTAAAACATGATCGTCACTCTTACAGTACAAAACAACTCCAGTTACACTCTTTCTCATAAGAGCTGAACACCTAAATATAATAATCCTTTCCTACAAAGCCTGAACCAGGTCTGAATGAGGAATGAAACTGAGGCTGGCTATTCTAGGTATGCCAGTGTACCACCCTAAATGCAAACACTTTATACAAGAGGGGATCCCTGTGGAATATTAGGATAAGCTGGTCTGAGGTGGTAGCAGTTATACTGGTGCATTTGTCACAGTACGCAAGTACGCACATCTGCTTTTGGCAGAGTGAAAACACTGCAAAAAGTTGTGCATCAAAATAGCACTGCACTCGGGGTAAATAATTCTGCTGCTGACTCAGGCACAATTGTTTCCCCAGCACCAGGTAGGTTTCCACACGGCTTAAATAAGGCAATGTAATATTCAGTTGGCTAGCTCTGGGGACAGCTACTCAGCACTGCCAGGGAAGTTAAAGGCAGCACTGAACTCCTTAGTGCAAAGCAAGGCAAGGAAAGAGCTGAGTCAAAGGCTTCTGTTTGGCCATGCTGTGAGCAGGAAGGGACCGGCAGCATGCACTCCAGTTGCTAGGTAGCTTAGAGTTACAGATATGCCTCATTTGCCTGTGCTAACACACCCCGCAGGACTATATTTACAGAACGCGGCCTTTGCTTCTCATTCCTTTGAGCGATATAAAAATACTGAGAATTCTTCCTTTGGGAGCTCAGCAACAGTTGCCCTTGGGTTGCTGCTGTCATCCCTGAAATGTGGTGGTGCTTCTGAGCTGTGCTGAAGTGGGCAGCTTGAGTTGACACTTGTCCATGCTACTGCTGCCTGCTCTGGTCTTATTTTATGGGGTAGCTACTCTCACTTCAGCTTCACTAATTCAAGTGATATCTGAGTATAGAGATGATAGCTTGGAGTTAACTCTGTAAAACTAGTCTAGTCCTGGCACAATAACATTGATGTTTGGAAGTGAAAACCTAAGAGAATTTACCTTGATGTCTTACCAGTCTAACACCCCAACTGCAATTAGCAGAGAAAATTGCATTCTGCATTTAAATAAAGGAGCAAAAGGAAAGAAATGGCACCACCAAAGGAAGAAAGAATCAGAATTATGTACTGCCTGAGCACTATGAATTATTAAACAGTGATATTTTGGTGAAACACAGATACTCATCAAAAGCCCATAGCACACTCTGTTACTGGGGGGTGGGGGAAACTTGACAGGAGGCTTGGAGAAGGGAGTATCACATATGGCCAGAACCACCATACATCATGTAACATAATAAGGTGGCATTTGTACATTTGTTTAGCTCAGGTTGTTTTCCAGCAAGCATATGAAAACACAGCACAAGAATGCTGTAAGTGCACTTTATGAGAATTAGCTGGCTTTCAATGCCAACAAACCCTCCTACCCGCATAATTCCAGCTGTAAGTTTTTCAATGTTCAAAGGAAGAGAGGAGAACAAGCATTTTCAGAGGGCTGAGATGTCCCCAGGACTCCCAAGTGGAAAACAGGCACTGGTGTGCATTACCTGACCTCCCAGGAAAAGCCTGCCAATTACCCTCTTGTCCTGGCAGCCAAAGCTGTCATGCCAGGGGTATAAGTCATAGGCTTGCAAACACAGGTCCTAAAGACGGTTGAAATAAAACTTTTGTTACCTCAGCAATTAACAGGTTCATTGCTTACTGTAATTTAGAGCAGGTTTAATGAGCAAGGATCTTTACCAACTGACATTTGTTTTGGGAAGTGCTTGCTTTCTTGATAGCAAGCAGCTAGCCCCCAACAGATGTTCTGTAGGTAAGGAGGATTGGTGTTTGTCTCTCCTATCCTTAGGCAGACATAGAGAAGGTGTGGGCGAGCAGTGCATCTATTTTCAACAGTAACATCATAACAACTTGATGATAGACCATCTGATTCCAAGTTCAAAAAGAACTGGGGATCTATGTAAAGCACAGAGATTAAATTGGATTCTTAACTGGTACAGAGTATTACAAAGTGCATTTTTATGGAAGGATGGGAATAGGCCTACAGGGCTGAAAGGACACAACAAGGTCTTTAGGCAGCTCTCTGAAAAGTGGCTACAAGCCCAGGCAAAGTAACATTGACAAAACGTGTGCTAATGTCTAACTTTCAAAGGCCGCAAAGCTTCCCATTTATTTTGTATGATACCAACAACTACATGCTATTGACTTCCACTAACAAAACTGGACAGGCAAAAGCTGGGAGTCATGAAGAACTCTCAGCAACTGGAGCAAGCCTTGTGCTTACCTCATAAACACCTCATTGCAACCCACTCCCTGCCAGACTTGAAGAGCAGACAACAGTTATGTATGGCAGCAATGAGAACAATGATCAGTGATGCTGGCAGGAAGCAAATCTCACAGGAAGCAGAAAGAGGTCAGACTCTTCAACAGGACATTTTGACAGATGCTGGCTTTCCTCTTGGTTCCAAACATACCCTAACCTTTCCCACAGAAGGCTCTGCCAGAGTGCCCACCCCCAGGAAGGAGAAGCATTAGTGAGCCTCCCCAAAGCAGGCACTGTATATAAAGCATATAAGCAGTGACTATAGCCAGGCAATTTGTATTTGTCTCATCTTGGGGTTTGGCAGTGGTGACTAACTGGACTGCAGGGCTAAAAATGAAGAGCTGCAGAATGTCACTGAGCAAACAAGTTAAAATGGTAACAAGCTCCAGGGGCACAGCAGCAGGGAGGAGATGCACACAGGGGCCAGGCACTGCATCCACAACTGATGCTCCCACACCAGGTTTACGTGTACCTCCAGACAGAGTGTCCAACTTCCAGCTTTCAGCCAGCTTGCACCAATGCACTTCTCTGCCACTAAAATACAAGGCTTGACAAACATTATCATCAGGCCCAGCTAGGTTAAAACAGCCATTTCCTGGCCACAGGAAGGTTTCTAATAACCCTGCCACCCATCAAAAAAACAGCATGCCTTGAACACTTTTCCCTGCTCTGCCACAATCATAGTTCAGGATAAGTAATTGGTCATGAGCGTGTGCAGCTGCTAATTTCTGAAAATATAGAAGGCATATATTTTCAAATAAAAGAACACAGCTTTTAGGACTTCAGAACAATGAAACAGAGGGTGACTGCCTTAAGTGCAGAAACTAAAAGCTTTTTCCTTCAGAACAAGAGTAGAAACGAGTAATTGTTGTTTCCAAGGAGATGGGGAACTTCAGGGATCAGAGCTCAATCTGCAGTTAAATGGATTGGAAACAACTCCCAACAGCTGCAGAATAAAGCACGAATAGAAACACACCAGAAAATCCAGAGAGCGCAATTCATGGCACTGTGTACATTTCTCCACATCCAGGAATGATGGACCAGCTTTATTTACATGATGCAGGTTAGCTATTCATGAATAGTAAGGGAGAAGTCTTTCCTATGTTCTCTCCATATTCATCTCCTATTCAACCTCCTTGACAGCAAAAACTGACAGGTATTTCCATTTTTTCCTTTGGAGAGAGAAACCTCAAAATCCTCTCACACTCCAGAAATGCAGTTCTAAGGGGACCAGGTATGTGAAAAATACCTAAATGAAGACTTTAAATTACTCTTTGCAAGCTAGGCAGGCCTTTGCCTTTCCACTGAAATGTTTCACAGATGCCAAAAGTTCATGCTTCAATGGCATGTCAAATTCTGAGCTTCTCTCATGTAAACCACAAATCCCATGACTTGCAAAGGATTTTCCAAAATAACCAATACCTTTGTGAGTGCTGTAGAGGGCTGCAAATGTCACCACAAAGAAGGTGGTGGAATATTTTCCAGCGTTAACCAGATGAAAGGCCCGTTTGTTATCACGGTAACGGCGCAGGCACTGGATGAATCGCAACCAAGCAGGGATGCACTGGACAACTGCTCTCACTCCGTAGGAGTAGCTGTAACAAATCTGATTATCTGCAAGAAAAAAGTTTCAGGGACAAAGAGTTAATAAATTTAAGAACTCCTATTGTCTTCCCTTCTGTAAGAATATTATCACTTGATATGAGAGCAACTTCCCATCGATGTCTCATATTTAGGCACACACACATCCAGAACAGTGAGAAGCTCCTCATCACCAGGAAGTATCCTAAAGCTCTTTATTCCATCTCGGAGGTATTCACGTGACATGACATCAATAAACACATTCAGACAGATCATCATCTAACTCCTTCACCGCTGCCGGTGTAACTCACATGCAACAAGATCAGAAATAATCTGTTTTTAAATTTCTTTTGTGCTGTTGGCAGTACTGTTAATAATCAGTTAAGAATGGAATTATAAAAGGCCTTCGACACTGAATTTTTGTGCATAAATGGGAAAGCATTTCCAAACTCTGTGGGACAGCTCAAAAAAGCTACTTTGCCTAAGATGTCCTTGACCCATTTTTCTTTTATATTGCAATAGGACAAAACATGTTTCAATATGTTGTTTTGCTACCCCTTTCTTTTTTTATGTTTTAAGCCCTGGCTTCAACAACTGAGGTTAGAGACAACTATGCCAATATGACTATGCCAGTATTTGGCATATGCTCTGATGTTTGAGGAAATGACCAGGAAAGACCCAGCTTTGCTTGGAACCCCCAGGCATGCCATATTCTCTTTCTGTCATGCTGAGCACATCTAAACCAAACATTCCATTAACAAACAACTTACTCAGAATAATGAAGACAAGTTATTAGCTGATATTTATCCCAAAGCACTGTGCTATCATCCTACTATTTCTATTGGAAAAGGACAAGTTGATATCCACTCAGTTGCTCTATTTATTTGTTCTTAATAAATAAATATTTAGTTACTTGCAACACTGTCTTAAAGGGAAGAGACAGATCAGGCAGATTTGAAGAACAAAGAGAACACTGATGCTTATTGAAGCATACTGCAAATTCTTTCGGCAGGTGTCAAAACCATCAGACAACACAATTTGCCAGCAGTCACTGCTTAAAATGAAAAGACAACAGCCTGATCCAGGAGGAGACAGGTACTATTTTGCCACCGGGAAGGCCAAAGTCAAAATTCATGTGCCAACTCTGTGGTTATTCTGGCTAGAAAGAAGAGACAGAGCACGCACAACCCTGGCATCACAGCATCAGCTCTAATTGAATAAGGGGTGACACTAACAAGGAAGTTTCTCCATCCTCTCTTGCTTCAGGGTACTTTGATGGGGCCTGTAAGAAGCAGGCTACAGCATAGAAAATTGTGGTTAACAACCTCATGCAACTCATTTTGATGCTGAGCAAGAGGAACAGGCTAAAAACAAATTCATGGTTAAACTACTATGAAAGAAAACAGCAATGCCAGGAAAATGGATTTCTCTTTCCAATCAAGAAGTGCTGCACCTGACATATGACTGGACTAGGAAATGAACACTGATGTGAAATTCAGTTTCTCTGGATGGAATTAAGAAAGGGAGAATCTCTCCAACACTGTGTTTACAAGAAACACAAATTATTTTAGTTCCCTATGTCTTTGGTAGCCCTCTTCAAAGAGACATATAATTATGAAGCTGCCTTGCCAGTTTTTTTCAGATCATTTTGACTGTATTTGAATAGGTCATCAGCATTACTCTACCTGTATTTGCCAGAAGTCCAGCATTATCCTCCCACTGAACCTCAAAGCTGTAGAAGCAGATCATGTATTCCAGATCCATGAGTATTACGACCAGGCTGTTGAGCTGATCAGCCAGCCAGAAATCTGCAAAGCCTACCTTGTGGAAGGGAGCAGTGAACACTCGAAACTGTCAGGAAGAAAAAGGAATAATTCATAACAGTGTCAAATACATCCGAATGCAACGGCAGGACATCATGGCATTGAACAAATATGGGAAATCACAGAAAGGCTTGAAGATTTATTGCTGACCTTTTGCTCCTACTGACACAAAAAAAGATAGTTGTCTCCTCACTTTTAGTACAAGTAACATTCCTCTCTGCATGCAACCATTCACGTCCCCTTGCTTTTTTTGGTGTTTGTTGTTGTTATTTTGGGCTTGTTTTTTTTGTTTGGTTTTTTTTTTTCCCTCCCCACTGGCAGAAGAGCCTAGTCTCCTCCAACCAAGCTCTTTCACAGAAACTTCCAATCTCCATTTCTCCTGTTGCTCCTCGTTTTGATCAGTGCTTTCTTTCTAGCATTTATGTAGTGTCTACTGACATCTTCCACACTTACCTTCTCCCTCACCCTTAATATTTCAGTTAGATTATAGACCCTCAGCATGGCCATTACTCTGATCATGGTTCAGTTCACTTAACACATTAGTTATTCTTTGGTGTTAGAAGTTGAAAAAAAGCAAGGATTGTTACTGCTGAATCTGCTCATGCCTCTAGCAGGGAAAGAGTTAAAGAAAGGGCAGAGGAAATCCATTGACTGTCAATTAGACTCCCTCTCAATCCCAGTCCACTTTCCCTCTAAGCCTTAACAGCAGTTTTGCTACTTTCAAACCAGATAGTTTTCATGGTCCATTACCTTTGATTACAACTCTCTCTACCCAGTTAGTTATAGCTACTAAAGGCCAATTTCTCAAAAAGACAGCACCAGCACCATCCGGTAGTTCAGAGATTTATGAATCTTTAAATTAATGAAAGCACAAGCTAACACTCATCTTTTATATTGCTCTCCTTATTAACCTAAAGGGTACAGCTACAGAAACCTTACAGGGAACAGACTGACCCATTCCCACTGGCTTTTAATGTCAATTTAAGGCTCTGGTCCTAAATTTCAAAGCCAAATAGGCGATATTAAGACTTAGTGGCATAAAGCAGATATAGATCTTGACCCAGAAAGCACTGTGCTGAAGGACGGAACCTATTATAAAGGCTCAAAACAGGGCCAGCCACTAGAGAGGTCTGTCCTCAAAGCAGTCCAGCTGCAGAACAGCTTCTGCAGAGGTCAGAGAAGCCACCCCAGCTTTCCTTTTTAAAAGGTCCTTCCTCCATTTTACCAACATTCCCTGATACTATCTTTACCTGTTTCATCTGACCTTTTTTATTATAAGCAAAGACTGACTAAAACAAATTAAATGAAAAAACAAAGAAGAAAATAATAAAATCCATGTTGTTATTTAATTAATTTCGGAGAGACACTCGGGCAATGCCAGATGACAACATAAAATTTAAAAGTAGAAGCTTTCCACCTAAATGCTACAGCAGATGAGGAGTCAGCAGATATGTCCATGACCTAGATAAGGCACCGGCAGCTCAGTGAACTATCCTTAAGAGCCTAAGCTACCATCTGAACCCTCCTAACCCTGCACGTCAGGCTCTGTGGTTTCTGGCTGCTGCCACATGCTGCCCAGGCACAGCTAGAGTTGCAGCCCAGCTACCACAGGGTGCTGGCAGTGGAGGGCACTGTCTGCTGGTAGGTACCACAGGTAACTCCTCAATCCTCAACTGAGGAGTGTCTGCAACATCCTCCAGAGAAGATGGGCTGCAAGAATAAAGTCATCAAAAAGCTGGAGTTGAACCTCATTTTCTAGTAATCGGTTGCAATTATATATCAACAGTTCCACAGTCAGAGCAGACTTCCTGGTGCTGTGGTTTTAGTAAGTGCTGAAACAGTAGATACTTGAGCTGGAGCTAAACACTTCCTAGATTTTCACCTCTCTCAGACAGGCTCCCTGCAGTTATTTTGCCATTTTGGCTCCCTGCAGAGAGTGTGGGCATACAGACACTGTGCCACCCCCTGTACTTGGATTGGATTCCTCCTGATGAGCTGCTCCCCTCAGCCTACACAGCACACTCATGGGCTTCTCATCTGGCAGCAAAGGAACACTCACCTAAGTACTCAGGCAAGAAAGAAGAGCTGGTGTGGGAATTAAACTTTTTTTTTTTCAGAGGAAGATCAATTCGGATATATCTTACAGTCCCTTAGGGATTATCAAGAGATCTCACTCAGAAGAACCAACAAGCAGCTGTTGATGATCACAGGTGGATGCAGTAAGCCCCCCTGATCCATCAGGAAATGCTACAACACACTGAAGTATGCTCCTGGTTTGGTTCTAGAAAAATTGAAGGTTCCAGTAATGCTCTGCTACACCCGCTATGTCATATTTTGTTATGGCTGGAAATTAAACATATTAAGGATGTGAAGAAAAATGCTCACCAAGATCTGTGTGAACAGCACAGCTCTAGGAATTGCACTATTTAAACCTCCTTTCACCCAGATAGCTGCTGGCAACTGCACAGAGCAATAAAATACACCCAGCCAGCCAATTACACACAATAAAAATTAGAAAAGCCTAACAGCTACTCTTTATGTGGTTTGTCTGGCCTTTTTCTTCCCCTTCCGCATAACACACTGTCAGAAGTACTGTGTCATTTTCCACCATTAAGGTGATCTTGCATTTTGATGAAGCATTTTTCCCCAGGAGACCTTGGGATGAATTGGCCTCTGCACACTCAAAGATGTGCCTCTATCACAGACTGCAGCATAGTCTAGAGACAGGTGGGCTAGAGCAGGTACTGGAAACTGCCTAAGAGGTCTGTGAGGACTGAAAATCTTACCCTGTTAAGATATTAAGATAATATCTTAAGATAAGATAAATTAGCACAGATATTGCTCACATGGTTAAAGCACTTCCAGTGCTTCCCCTAGCACCAAGGGAGAGCAGCAAGACTAATGAGGCTTGGGACTAAAGGCACATCTATGAGAGATGGCTGAATGCTGGAAGGCAAAAAAGAAAAACTGAAATAGTAGTAAGGTAGTAAATAAAATAACAGAGGTAAGCACACAGAGGTTAAGTAGCTGTGTGTACACCTGCATGTTCATGCTTGAAGCATGTTTCTATTTTTTGTTATTGTCATGTTCCAGATAAAGTTAATTGTTTTAACTGGCATTAAAATGATTCTACAAATAGCATCAGCCTGCCAAACCTTCTTACACCCAATGCTCTCTGAGCAGTTGCAGCAAGAATAAGGTATTGAGGGAATAAACTTGATTAAAGCCAATTTAACAGGGCATACACAGTGGGCTTGAACATGTGAATCAGCCATTTGGGAAGAAACTGATGATCCATACATGTTTGAAAACTGTTCTTTTGTTCCTCCCACCTATAAATAGAGCACTGAAGTAGCACACACATTTACATTCAATTTACCAGATTTATCTTACCTGGAAAATGGGAGCTGGGTCTAAAATAAATAGTTTAAGACCACAAACAGATTTGGTGAAAAAAAGCCCACTCATGAACATAATTTTATAAGTAGTAACCTTTGCAAAGGTTCCCACTCATCAGTGAATCCTCTCAATGTTGCCACTCACTCAGTTTGGGCTGAGAAGCTTCCATGCAACCTTGCCTTACAGCACTGTAACCTGATCAAACTGTTTCACTGCATTTAGGAACAAAAAATAAATACATCAGAGTGTTTCTATATGTGCAAAAGTATGCGTACAGCTGTATACAGGAAGATTAGCTAGTAGCTACCTGCAATACAAAGATAATGATAGACTGGTACAAGCAGAAGTTGCTTCTGTAAAACCATGCTCAACAGTGATGTGCAGTCAATACCTTATCAGGTCTGCTCTATGAACGCACAGTGGTATAAGCATCCTACTTTCCTGAAGATTAGTAACATTTATATATACTGAACTGCTATTGCTCAGCTACAGCATTTTTTATAAATTATTTATTATTTCAGGTTTGAGACTTACCAATAGTTTGAGCAGCCAAAAACGGGACTTGTAATATAAGGTTTTGGTAGGGTTGATGAGAAAAAGCAACATGAAGCCATATAAGATGAGTGGATTCACCTGCATAGGAATGTAGGTGAATTTACCATATATACATGCCAGCAGGCTCAGGCACCACAAAACGCCCAGGAAACCAGCAATCTACAGAAAGATAGAAAAAAACCACATAGATACTTTATGAAAATATAGCTTTGAAATCCTCAATGAATTCTCATTATAAGAAAAGGGAGAGCAGTGCTCAATCCTGTAATCTAATCAGACTTCAGCAACTTCCTCTTCTAATTGTATTAGAACTCTTTGCCAGGAAATGATGCAGGATTTATCCTCCTGATATGCCACACAGCTCAACCACTCCTGCAATCTATTCTGTTTACCTCAAAGAGATGTTGATGGGACAAGTTGCTGCGGGGATTGAGTTCAAAGATGAGGACGTGATTCACTCCAGCCTGTCTCCAGCCATATGTGTTGATACCCAGGAGAAAGAGGAATTCTATCAGGAGAAAGCCACCTCGATAGATTCTCACCAGTGGCCACACATTTGGTCCCTCTATAAAAGCCACACCTGGAAAAGAAAAAAATAGGAAAGACCTTAGCAATAGCACAAGTCATGTCACAACACAAAGCTGTGCTCTACCGCTTTATGCTCATTCTCAGATGCTCAGCTGTACCCTGTGAAAACAGGGTGCACTTATAGGCACCTGCATACTCCAGCAAGTAGAGGAGTTTTACCCAGCCTGTCAGAGCATTTAGGAGTATTCTGGGGAAAATTCACTCTCCCGCTTGTGTAGTCAGGTCATTAGCAGCATTGTAAATCCTCTGTGTCATACTACCGGCATGTGGGACATCACTAGCATAAATACTGACTATAAGCACTTCAATGTTCTGGTTTAATGAAGATGAAATCCTAACAGACAGATACACAAATACTTCAGCTCCCCACAAAACCAAGAAGCACCATTTACAGCATTTAAAACAATGGTAAACTGTGCCTAATCATTGAACTCAATACAACTGTAATGTAATACATATTCATAACTAGCAATATAATATCCAGCCACACCCAAACAGAAAAACCAACACAAGCAATACTGGAAAGCCTATTGCTTCCTTTGTTCGGTCTTCAGGGGTTTGGAAACAAATTCACTTAATTTCAAACAATGAGCAGCATCATACAGCAGGAGGTTTCTCCAGCATAAGCCTCTTTACAAAATGCTGTCACCTGGTTGCCCAATACAGGTTTCATGAGAAAAGCACAAATAAAATATGGAAATATGGTTACTTGAATCCTCAATTTCATTGTTTCTCACCCATGTGCTTGGGGGGGAAGCATACAGTTTTACAGAATTGATGCTGAGAATTTATTTGCACAAACCTTCCTGTCTATATTACAACCCTGAGGTTTCCATATTTTGGGGTGTTTTTTTTTTTGTGGTTTGTTTTTTCTCAAACATATCCATAAGAAGTTTAATGTGTTCAGCATCTGTACTTTTATACTACATAAAATTATAGAGTAAAATTGTGCAAGGAGCAATGACTCAAGAACTGCTACTTTAAATGCATAACTTGGAGACTACTGGATTCAGGGAAAAAGAGAGTCAAATTTTGGACAGAAATGACAGACACCCTGAAGAAGCTGAAAGAAATGAGTCTTAAATATGGAACTGCAAAAGCAGCATTTCAAATTTTGATCTGAAAACCAAAGGAGGTGCTTTCAAACAGGACAAGGCATCCCCAAAACTATTAAATAAGACATGACCAGGCAGAATAGGACAGATATGCTGCGTGCTATTCAAGACAGAACACTCAGACAAAGGTTTATCCCGAGGCGAACACGGTTCATGACAGTATAGCATATGACTTCCATATCTAATGCCCACTAATCTTATTTCTAGGCTCAGGACCATAATTGCAGGTTGAACAGCAGCTGGTTCTGGAGAAAAAACAGATACTCAACAGTACAAACAGATCAGATACTAACACAAAGAAGTTAAGAGTATTTCTGTATATTCTCTCTTCTGATACTAAAACCCTACCTAGCTTCCGCAGTGTAATGGCTAGATTTGATTCCCTTTTCATGTGTCCTGACTGAACCATTTGCTTCACTACTGCTGAGCAGTTTGAAGACCCCCAAAGACCAACTTGCAGTTAAGTGTCCAGCAAAGGTGTATCTGGTCTCAAACTGGTGAGACCCAGTCCAGGGCTCCTCCATCCTACAGCCCTAAGGCAGAGAGATTTTCCATACATATCCAGTTAAATAAAATACAAGCAAAGTCACCTGCTAGAGTCACAGCAGGTATGTGACACCTGATCAACTCATTCTTTCAGCAAATGCAAGCTCTGAACAAGATGTTCAGAAAGGAAGATGTCTCTGGTTACAAGACCAATGGCATAGCAGCCTAATTCTCAAACAAGAGACAGGGCACTGATGCAGCAAGAGTCTGAGATTTTGCATGAAATAGTACAGGTTTCTGGTTAATAAAACATATGTCCACTTCCATGAACTTTCACTTACATACTGGCTTGGCACCTAGGGAAGCTAATACAGAAACAGTGATGCCTCAAAATTCGTACTCTTTAGGAGGACACTTCCCTGTGATCCAACTGTAACATTTGCAGCGTCTAACAGACCCCAAGATATCATTAATTCATCTGTAAAAGGTTGCTGTTCTAGTTGTAAAATCAGGTAATAAAGAAGGGGTTTTCCAGTAGAAGTTCTACACTGTTTCACAGATTCTACACATACAATACTTAAATCCCATTTCAGTCAATCAAATCATAATTTTCAAATATAGCAGAGAGGTTAGCAGACTCATATCCAAATAAAAGAAAAAAAAACAACAAACAACCACAAACCACTTTGCAGTTAGAATACAGGTTTTGCCCAATATCTGAAGTAATGTACAGATATCAGATCATGTCTGCTGATAACAAACAAAGCTATTATTCACAGTAAGTTAGTAACATCTGCTTTGGAGGTATAATCATTTTTATGAATTCCTCCTCACAACTGTGTCACTTACTGAGAGATAACGCAAACACAACTGGCTTCAACTGTATTTGCAACTCACACAGAGATCAAACATATAAGCAACAGAAAAAAGGTACAATGAATACAGAGCAGCTTCTACACATTAAACAGACCCTTCACACAGACAGGTCAAGCTTGGGCTTCTACCGTTGGAAGACCAAATGGGAAGCACTGCAAACTCTCAAACAGAGACATTTTATCCCAAGAGATGACTGGATTCAATTACAGAAACACCTGATTAAAAATTTCTTTTAAGTCAAAACCACAGACATGGGCTTTCCCTAATACAAGAGCTCGCACGTGGATTTGTTAAGCCTTTTCCTTTTTACTGTTTAAGCAAGTTATAACACTACTGAAATCACACACACAATTAGTAAAGCTGCTTGTAATTAAACACTGTGTCTGGATCTACAGTACTAACATGGCTTTTACTCTACTCAGAGTTCAAACTCAGAAGGCACAAAGCAGAATAAAACCAATGTCTGAGATACGTAATAATTCATTGTAACTGTTAAATAATCTTGCCAAAATCTGCCAACAAGAAAATTAAATTAATTCCATTAACAGGCACCAGTCATTGAAATCCCTGAAATTTCTACATGAAAATGTCCCAAGTGGCATGGTGCTTACATGGCTCTATCTCTGGTCTCACTCTCTGTAGGGAGTTAGTATAATGAAAAACTTAAGTTTTAGGAGTACCTGTCTCAAGGTGAGTGAGGTCTGTGTGTTCACAAAACCATAACAGAAATCTGTCTTTGTAGATGGATGTTCCACCTCCAGAACATCATTCCAAGAATAGGGAGGAAACCAGGAGAACAAACCATAATATATTCGAAGTCCAAAATCCGCATATACAACATGAAAAAACACAATCTATTACTGAGCGGAACTAATACTTTACAACAGTGTCATCTGACTCAGATTGATTCAATCCAGAACATCCTGACCAACTCAGTTCAGACCCAGACCCCCATTAAGTGATGAGAACATATCCAAACCAAGGTATGGCAGGCAACGAGTCCAGTCAAGGATACCCACCTGAAAGTATGACAGTGACGTTCAGTGCAATGAACAACCCACAGAATAATCCAACCCTGAATGTAGTCCAGGCTGGTACAGGCTGTGAACAAAGCAATGGTGGAATTAAGGTGAGGTAAACAGGTTATCAGCAAAGTCAGATTAATCTGTGGAATAAATTTAAAACTAGGAAAAATAAGCTATTTCCAAAACTTCCAAACTAAAGCAGGTTATGTGACAATATCCCCCTCACAATCTACAGAGCATGCTCACATCAATTATTTGCACTACTTTGTTCAGACATTGAATCTAATTTGGCACCTTAACAAGCTGGAGAAGCATCTTTGCTGCATAGCTTGATCTCTTACCTGAGCTGCTCCTAAGGGTGGAACACGCAAACGTTTCATAGCCTTCTGTCTGTCTCCATCTTCTAACTCATTGGTCACCACTTCCTAAGGAGATGAAGATATACATCACAGAAGTTCATTCTAATGATAAGCACATGGTACTGCATTAAAAACAAAAATAACAGTTGGTTTCCAAGTTACATTTGAGCCCTGGCCCAATACTCTCCTAGCACACATTAACAAAGATAGGAGAAGCTCACCATGCTGCATCAAGTTACACAATACGAGCTAACACTGCACTGGCTTTTCAGAGTGAAAAGCTACCAGCTGAAGAGAAATACCCAAGTTATGTAAGCAGTGCCAGAAAGCAGTGGCATTTCAAAATCAATTAATAGCTGTCTTGGTGGCAAATACAAGCTAGAGAGAGCAAAACATTATAGGAATCAGTAGTGAACAAAAAACCACTGTTTTCTAGTTAAAAAGAGGAACAGTACGCAGACTAGCATCTTTACCTCTGTTTCGGAGATAAGTTGGTTGATCTTCTTGCAAGTATAGAAAGGTGCTACCTCCACCTCAGCCACCCGCCATTCTGCTCCCCGTGCTGTCTCCAAGTTCTTGTCATGTTTCTTTAAGATCTTGCGGAAGCCGGTGAAGTTCAGGTTCTGCAGACAAGGGAAAACAGTTACTGGCTTTTAACCTCAGTCAGGTCCCAGGAAAGTTAAATGGTTGTATTTCCAGTGCTAGCAAAAAAGGAATAGTTAGTAAACCCCAACAAATTATTGCATCTGTTGTCAGGAAGTTTCTGATTTACTGCTATATTAGAAGGCATACATATCCCTTACAAATAACAGAAAAAATGTGGGACTCGGGGGCACAAAGCCATATAGCTTATTTGCAGGAAACTACCTAAACTTCATGTTTCCTGAAAAGCCAAATTACTCCCATTTTCTTCCTTAATGCAGGAAGTGATGACAATCCTGATGAAACCTCCCTGAAGACTAATAACCTTTGGACATGCTCAAAACTTGCATGCTTGAAGTTATTTCACGACATGCTCCCTCTCCATGGGTATACCTTATTGCATATACCCCAGGTACTGCAAACCGGCAGCGGGTCTCTGGATTAGCAGGAGTTGGAATGAGCTCTTAAGAAACATACAAAGCTACAGAAAGACATGTTTACCAAAACTATCACAGTCATTACCAATCCTTCAACGGTTTTCCCTTCTGAAAAGGCTAAGCTACTAGCTTCTAGTTTCTTTAAACTCTGTGCTGGTTTCAAGTCAAGTTGTCCAGATAAACTCATTACAGAAGGGAAATCCTTGTACAAAATTTATAAATGCTGCAGATCAGCTCCAGACCTGTACATCCCCACAGCACTATCCTTTTCTACAGCGTACGTTGCACAATGACTGCAAAACTATTTTAGACTTGCAGATGTGGGAGATGCAACTCCCTAGTATGTAGAAGTGCATTAAAACAACAATTAATTGTTCGTTTTCAAGTTATATATGAGACTAACCCAGTACTCTTCTAATGCACAGTAACTTAAGAAAGGCAAAGCTCATCACACTGCAGGCAATTGCTGTGACAAGATGCATCCAAAATCCTGCATTTCATTATGCAGAAAACACCACTCAAAACACTCAATGTTTCATTCAAGCAACAGTAGGAACACAGACAGATCATGGCAAGATTCATCTCTGAAAAAAAAAAAAAAGCTTAGAAAGGAGCTTGGAAAGAAAAAGAAAGAAAACCGCAAAATCCCATGCCCTAGGGTGAGGCACCAGCTACTCACTGAAATATCTTCTATCTAAGTATACTGAGTGATTTAATACCAGACCCCTACTACCATACAGGTGAGGAAATGAGGGCAGGGAGACAGGAGCAGGAAGCCAATGAGGTAACAATCTGCATTACTGCAGACAAGAGACTTTAACTGTTTTCTATTGGAAAAGCCAGCATTCTACCCAGAGAGACCACCATTTCAGAATCTTGAAATTAAACTATGCAACAAAATGATGATTTTGGTCAGAGATTTTTCTGTAGCCTTGTCCTGGGTTCAGCAGTAGCAGTCATGTTTCTCCTTCTTGGTAGCTGGTGCAGTGCAGTGTTTTGACTTTCGGCCTGGGAACAGAGCTGATAGCGATGTTTTGGTTTGGCCAAGGACTTTGTGAGCCTCATGCTCTGCCAGGGAGGAGGGGAAGCCGGGAGGAAGCAGAGACAGGACACCTGACCCAAACTGACCAAAGAGGTATTCCATACCACAGCACGTCATGCCCAGGAGGTAACTGGGAGTTACCTGGAAGGGCTGGGAGACTGCAGGGTTGGAGGAGGTATCGGTCGGTGCTTGGTCGGGCTGGGGGGGGCGAGTGATCGGTCAGCTGGTGCTGAGGTGTTGTATTCTCTTCCCTTGTTATTTCCTTTATCATTACCATTGGTGGTAGCAGTAGTGATTTGTTATACCTTAGTTACTAAACTGTTCTTATCTCAACCCGTGGGAGTTGCATTCTTTTCGATTCTCCTCTCCGTCCCTCCGAGAGCAGGGGGAGGGCAAGAAGGGGGGGGAAGTGAGCGAACGAGTTACCTGACTGGGTTTAAACCTCGACAGTTCTTTTTGGCGCCCAACGTGGGGCACGAAGGGTTGAGATAACAACAGATCTGACCAGATTAATAGTCATTCGTCACAATGCTGATTTATTGGCTCTCAGAGTTGTTCTTGTTGATCTCACAGCTTCAGAATGTTGTGACTTACGTAGAGCCGGTATTTGCTGTGTTAGTGTTTATCAAGTGTGGGGCCTGGGCTAAGGTTCTTGTCTCACTGTGCTTTATGGCAATGGCTTGTAATACGGGCGGGCTCCAGCAGCAGGGCGGGACGGACGTGGCCGTGGACTTGTACCTGGCCGTCCGGCTGCTCTTCACCGCCCTGGCCCTCACCCTACTCTCCATCTTCGTGAGGCTGCGGGGAGCCGAGGGGGAGCGGCCCCGGGAGCCGGCGGCAGCCGAACCGGCCCGGGAGAGCGGCCCCGGGGACCAAGCGGCGGCGGGAGCGGGGCCGGAGGCCGCGCGGGGACGGCTGCCGGTGGAGGAGGTCGGGGCGGTCGAGGAGCAGAAGGAAGGGGCTGCCGAGCAGCGGGAGAAGGCGGCGGAGGAGCCGAGCCCCGCGGCCGAGCCCAGCCCCCCGACGGCCGAGAGCGTTTCCCGGAAGCCGCCCGCCGAGCCCCAGGAGGACGCAGGAGACCAGGCAGCATTTCCCAGCAAGGCAGAGGAGGAAGAGCTGGACTCAGGAAAAGAGAAGCTGGCGGTGGGAGAGCCGGCAAGCACAGCAGCTACACCAGCCCCAGTGACAAGTACAGCAGCTACACCAGCCCCAGTGACAAGTACAGCAGCGTCGTGTGAGAGTTCTGAAGGTTTTGAATGGCCTTTGGGTATCCTTGGTACCTGCCTGCTGATTGTGATGGGGATCAGCATGTTGGCACACATACAGACTGTGTTTTACCCGCAACCATTTTGTCTGATCTCAAAAGTTAAGCAGAGTCAGGTTTGGGTCTTGTCTGGGGTTAGACAACAATACAGGAGGACCAAGAGGTTTTCTCCAAGGCTGGAGAGTCATGAGTGGCAGGGTGTGTGGGACAGTATGGGCAAGTATCTAGTCCACTGGGCCCCTCCAGTGCTTTGGAAGCATCGGAGATGGAAGGCAGCTGTATGGAGTCCCCAGCAACAAGCTGCAGAAACTGCTGAAGGGGACAGTGAATTATTTTGAGCCTGGTGGGCCCATGGCACTTCAGGCCATCAGAGCAGAGATGCAACACAGAGATGGACTCATGATCGAGGGGTGGACTTAGCAATGGACACTATTGCCCAGGTTATTCACGAGTGTGAACATTGCACACAGTCTCTCCTGCTCTGGAAGACTGGTACAAGAGATGGAGCCTGACATCATGGACCAGATGGACGCAGCAGCATTATAGCTACTGGTCCATGCACTTAGATAAGAGTGGAGTGATGGTATATTGAAAATGTGGGATCTGAGCATGACATGAAAGGTATGGAATAAGGGGTGGATAATGTCCTGGGTTCAGCAGTAGCAGTCATGTTTCTCCTTCTTGGTAGCTGGTGCAGTGCAGTGTTTTGACTTTCGGCCTGGGAACAGAGCTGATAGCGATGTTTTGGTTTGGCCAAGGACTTTGTGAGCCTCATGCTCTGCCAGGGAGGAGGGGAAGCCGGGAGGAAGCAGAGACAGGACACCTGACCCAAGCTAGCCAAAGAGGTATTCCATACCACAGCACGTCATGCCCAGGAGGTAACTGGGAGTTAGCCGGAAGGGCTGGGGGACTGCAGGGTTGGAGGAGGTATCGGTCGGAGCTTGGTCGGGCTTGGGGGGCGAGTGATCGGTCAGCTGGTGCTGAGGTGTTGTATTCTCTTCCCTTGTTATTTCCTTTATCATTATTATCATTGGTGGTAGCAGTAGTGATTTGTTATACCTTAGTTACTAAACTGTTCTTATCTCAACCCGTGGGAGTTGCATTCTTTTCGATTCTCCTCTCCGTCCCTCCGAGAGCAGGGGGAGGGCAAGAAAGGGGGGGGAAGTGAGCAAACGAGTTACCTGACTGGGTTTAAACCACAACAAGCCTCAACTAACATCACTTTATATGCCATGTGTCCAATCCCATCCTAACTCTGATGTGCCTTGGCCGGTCTGGGCATGGTTACACCAGACACCCTTGAACCTCTCCAGCAGCACTTCATCCTCTGGCTGCAAAAATTCTGCAAGCCCAAAGCACACAATAAAAATACTGGTGGTTATAGTGGTGCTTCTGACAAGGAACATACAGTGATGGAACAGTCAAACATCATTCACACAGTCAGATGTTTTGCTATTCATGATGCTTTTGTTTGGCAAGGGGCCTTCTCCAAGCCTGACTTCCATTTCTGCTGGACACTAGTTCAATCCATTGGAGGCGAGTAAAAACCAAAGAGTACAACTTATGCAATAACATAATGCAAGATCAAGTAGAGTCAGTGGACTCAAAAATCTCTGCTCATATACAAATGCATAAGGAAATGCACCAGCAAGACAAACACACAGCAGTTTAATAAGGCTGATTCAGTATTTGTTATTTGCCTGATTAATGCACTGTATTATATACATATAAGTAAATACTATGTATTTAATAATTAAAATTTGTTTTGAAACAGTATTTCAAAGAAATAGATCTATTTATAGATCTATACATTCTAGAATGATATATTACTGTTAATAACAAATCAATTTTTTCAGATGTTTAATCATTGGCAAGTTAAATATCAGCTGCCCTGGAGACAAGTTACAGTTCCACTTGACATTTGGTTTGTGTACCTTAGACATGAATGCATGCTGCTTTTGCTCTTGCTTCAGTCTAACAGATTAGAATTTGCTTCAAATGCGTTTTCTGTTCCTGGTAACCCACCTCAAGACTTCAGCATTTCATCAAAGTCATAGCTTGATATTTATAATGCTGCTGTTGACTTCCCTTTACCACCTACATGAAGGCCTCAGCTATGTCATCTTCCCACCAGGTTACTGTTTTTCCTCTCCAAAACTTGAAGAGCTAGAATACGCCTAGTTCTTATACGCTAAGATCAAAAGTGATTAAGAGAAGTATTCTGGGATTTGGTTTTATATCTGGTTTAGTACTTGTACTCATTGTCCTAAACTTCAAGACCAATTTGAACTAATTTTTCTCATTCTCAATATGTTGTAGAAAGAAGCTCTGCTCCTTTTGGATACTGTGAAAGCTATCAAATCCAGATGGGATTTACATTAACATTTTCTATATGTACAATGAACTCTTGGTAGCAAAAATATACGTGTGTAACATGCCCTTCTTCACTGATGAATAGCAGGAAAAGATCTTCCAGATTAATGACCTATGTCACCACTATTTAAATTCTTCATCAAGCCTCAGAAGTGACTTTTGTTACCAAGAACTTTTTTTTTTTTTTAACAAAACAAACCTTGAAGAAATCACAGCACGTAATACTGTTTCATTCCATTCCTGAAAAGCTACAGATACTCTAACTTTCCCAGGATTTTGAACTAGAAATTACCTCTAACAGTTAAAGGGCTTTATTGAGAAACCCATAAATAGTTTCCAGACATGTACTCAAAGACATAATAACATCACTTTAGGAATGGTACGAATACTCAAAATTTTGGTAGAATTAACTTTGCCCATACTGCAGGTAGTATTTCTAACAATTAATTTTGTTTAGTAAAATTCTCCAGTACAATGCTGGTAAATCTCTAAATATAGATGTACTAAATTTAAACTCAAACATTCTTATTTAACAAGCTAAAAACCCTCACAGTAAGACATGTAAAAGCATTTCAGAGTACTTAACACCAAAAGAGCTATCCCAGAAAAAAAGATCATAACAGTTTCAGATTTTTGTTTCAAGATTTTTGGAACAGTATCAACATCTGCAATATTTACCATGCCCTTTCGTGCCAGAAACCCTAGTACAAGTAAAGATTTGGTTTTCTCATACTTCAAGGCAAACAAGCCTGTATCCTACAGAATTGAAAACTTTTTTTTAAATGAATGTTTTAACAAGAAATTCTGATACAGCAAGGTCACAGTCACTACCATGGTAACGCCAAGAGAAAACAGTATGTTAGCATTTCAAGTTTCATTACAAATATTAGATAAAAGAGCTTCTTTCTTCCCCAGTGTGCCAGCTCCAGCCCTGCACAGGAACAACACATTACAGGAGGAGGAGGAACTGATACAACTTCATGTTCTGGCCATGACTGGGCAAAGGGTGTTGGAGTCAGCCAGCCCAGAAAAGGAAGACAAAGGAAGCTCCTTCTGAAGGTCAGCTCAGCAAATTCTATTTCAACAAAAAGCAACAAGACATTACACTGCTAGCTGCTAGGCATCTGCCTTTTCTTAAGTGCTAGGGAACCCAAAATTAAGGAAGAAATTAAAATAACAGCTTGAATGAGGCAACTGAAGGATACACAGAGTCATTTACATATAGGGCTTTGTAAACCCACATCTTTTTGCAGGTACCTGATAGTTCTGCAGTAAGATGAGGCTGAGGTAGAGCTCACTGAAGGCCAATTTCAGATCTTTGATATTCCTATGCTGGACTCGTTCTTCATGGGACAGGTGGAAGACTGGCTTTCTGCGCCGCTGAAGTGTGGAAACCCCACTGGCTTCTTTTTGTGCATCCAAAGTTGATTGTAACTCAGTCCGGAGAGTAGTAAACCTGCGCTGAGCTTCTGCAAGCTTTTCTGTTAGCAAAGAAAGGAAAAAGTCAGATGAGAGGATAGCAACTTGCCTACTGAGCCTGTTAAAAGCACTATACCTTTTCCTCAAATAACATGCCTGCAGGTAAAAAGCACTGCATTGAATAACCTACAGCATGTCTTCCCCTCCTAAGCATTAAATTCCACGACTCTGCATATTTCCTTTCTATGAAGCTCCTTTTAGTTAAAGACATGAATTCGGACCTCTCCACTTCCACTCAAGATCTGATTTCTTCTAGAGGATGCTTGTTCCAGGACTCTACGCATACCTGTATGGTATGGAAGAAGACCAACCTGCTCAGCTGCTGCCTGTACCGAGAGGCTATAAACCAGCACAAGGATGCAGGGTTAGGCCCCCCCACATCAGCAGAGCCACAGCTGGATGCAGCCAGGCAGATAGGGTCTCATCCAAATACCAAAGCAGTGACCACACGTCTACTCTGCACACAAAGGAAAGCTGATCGCCTTTCTCAAATAAAGCAAATGCACAAAAAGCAAATGAGGAAAAAACCCAACTGTTAGACAATGTTATGAAACTTGACAGTTTAGTAAGCAAAGCACTTTTCATATCTGTGCACCCACTACTAACTATGTGTTTACTATCTTTTTATATGACAGTAAGGAAATCCAAGGAGAAAAAAAAAAAACAAAGAAAACAAACCCCACTTCAAATGAGATGCTGAATTTTGTTGCTCAGAGAGCAACGCTACCCTTCTGCCAAGTTCCCAGTGACAGACAAACACAGCTTCTGCTTTGATCAGGAATTACAACACTACTAGCTGCTGTACACAAACTGCTGTAATAATACATCCCTCTCTTCCTCAGTTTAGGCTCATGCAGGTTAGAAGCATAGCCTCATTATTTACTGATTAAAGGAACAGCCAACCTGAATTTAAATATCATTTTGATGTGTATTCAGAAGAAGTCAGCCTCTCTTCCTCACATCTCAAGTATGAAAAAGGTGTTCCTTTAAGTATGCAGCTTCATGTACTATTAGAAAAAAATAATTTTTTGCTAAATAAAAATCTTTTTAATGCTAAAACCAGCATAATTGACACCATTATCTTTCTCTTTGATCTGTACAACTAGTTCCCTCCAATCTTTTTCCCTCCCCTATGGTGTTAGTCACAGCTTTGGCATCTCTGCTGATAAGCCCCATCATGGACCATGTGCAGTGGCGCTGGCCAGGAAGGCAACAAATAGGTTCACAGTGTTGGAGCAGAGGCTGGAGCCACCTCCACCCAGCAGGACACACACCACCGCAGCAGAAACCATGGAGCCCCACGGTCCCTCCACCACTCAAAACTCTGCCCAACAGTCTCCTGGCTATCAATCTAATTCCCCTTCATTAGCATCTTATGTAACTTAATAGTAATTTTCAATTGCTGCCGCACCTCCCTCGAAGTAAGATTTACTCTTATGGGTGCAATTCTGACTTTCTCTTCAGTCTTACTCAATTCTGGTTAATTTTAAGAGCAAACCTCATCTGTAAATAATTATACAGTGCTCTGCATAAGGTATCTTCCAGAAGGAGAATGCCCTTCTGAATGGAAAATTGGAATCAATATACAAAAATCAAGTATGGAAGAGCCTGAAACTCTCTAACTTTCTTGATTATAAGCTTTAAGTAAAGTAAGATGTTTTAAAAAGACAGGAAAGGATAACTCCTCCCTGGTAACTTCTATAGCTTCAAGGACTCCACTGAAGAGAGGCAATGTAGCCCACAATGAGAATCGTTTGCCCACAGCAGGAATTGTCTGCCCACAGCCTACAATTACATAATATTTAACACACACAAGGTCAGACTGCAAAAATCTTTCCCCACTTTAGGAACTCTCTCAGGAAGAAGTAACATATCTATTAGAGCAACTGTTAGAATCAAAAGCCTTCATATAAATAAAACTCACAAGTTTACTATATTCAAAATGCCACATTAAACTGTGATACACTGAGATTTCTTTGGATCAAATTATTAAATATGCGAGAGTTTAAATCACATCTCTAAATTGAAACTATGTTCCATTTTCCCTATGTCCTGAAAAAAAAAGCCAACTAAAAGCCTAACAAAACAATATTTAAAGGAAAGACGATGCTTTGAAATAGTCTCAAAACTGCTGCTGCAATTTTCTTCTTTGCAAAGCAATGTCCAGTAAGAAAGCATCATCTCCAAACACAAATATTCTTCTTTATTATGCACTGCCCTCTCACATCTGTAGGGGAGGACCACAGTTCTCTAAGAATGAGGCTTTAAAGGCAACTGACTCCCTCCTGAGAAACAGCAGTCCTGCACCTTCTTCTCCCTCCTGCTCTCTCTCACATGGACTCCAGTTATACAGTCCACAACTGACTTCACCTAGTTAAGGTATGATTTTATCATGGAGATTCATTGCAAAAGCAAAATAAGACAAAATATGTGCTGCTCTTCTTAAAAGCTCATACTGAATCGCTTAGGGAAACAGCAAAGCAGAGTACAAATTAATTTCTCAGTTTACAGCACACTCCAAAATGATTGAGAAGTCATTCACCACTAACCTAGCACTCCCAAATGTGACTTTTTTTAAAAAAATATGTCACTCAAAAGAGTTAGAAAAAAAGCAGCATACACATGGAAACTGGAAGCACTTGTTGTGTGGCAGCATTTCGCATGACATGATGCCCACTAAGTCATCGGCTCAAGTGTAACCTCACAGCAAAGACTAAGGAGAAATTTGAAACCAGAGGAAGACTTCAACAAAAGTACTTGCAATAAAGACGCAGGTTTGCCCCAGAAATGCTTCTAGATCCTGACTAAAACCACCGTCTAAAGAGTTGCCTCTCAGCTATACAATTTCAAGTTGTTTTGACTCCATTTTCCAAGTGTAAAGAAAAGCTCACACATAAGAATCATGGAAGAAAAGCTGTTACATCAAAGAACTAGTACAGTTTCTCAAGTTCCAGCTCACGTGGCCATGGTTGTGATCAAAACTTGTTTCACCAGAGAGGAGATAATCGAACAGCCCATACCTCCTTGCAGCTATCCAGCTCAGGAGTCTGGGCATTTTAGGCAGGCTCTTTCAGCACTCCTTCCTTTTCCTACTTGTACTTACTATGTTCACTATTTTGCTTACCAAGTTAAAGCCTACAAATAACAAAACCACCTCCTAAATTAACCACAAAAATGTTACTAGCTACACTGTAGCCCAAGCAAATCCTGATGATACTAGCTTAAAATATAACAAACTTCCCCTCTAGAAAATCCCAAACACAAACCAAAACTGGCCACAAATGAAACTTCAGCACTTGAATAGGCATGCCCTACTGGAAACATCTGAAAATTTTACTTCTGTGCTTTTTTCTTTCAATTGAGTATAGATTTTCTTGAGCATAGTCCAAATAATCACAAATTGTTTATCAAATCAGATTTAGTTAATGGCTGTTTTACTTCCTACTGAGCTGCAATAATGGTCTGGGGAATTAAGGCTATGTTTGACAAGAGCTGACAACCTTAGCATACAGTATTATGCAGCAGGTACTCCGACCCTAAGTACACTAGGGAGGAGCTGAGGTCCAGGAGGAGCCTGTCCTAAGAGGACCGGGTTGTCCATGTTGTGGCAATCCCTGGAAATCTTCACTGAGAATCCCTTAGTGCAGGGATCAAGAAGATGACAAAATTAAGCAGGGATCAAAAGAAGGCTTAGCTTTCTTGAAAATGGCAATATTTATCGTTGTAAAGCCAAGTGTGTAATAAAACATATGATAAACGTGTAACAGACAGAATGTACCAGGTCACAATCCAAGCTAACACACACCTGGAGTTACAATAGGGTCCGAGGTGACAAATTTCTGACATGATCAAGAAGAGGAACCACTGATGGAACATTTCTTGACATAGCTTAACGTTAATAACCCTAATAAGGGTTTCCATACTGTTAAAGTCACGTCACTTCTGCAAGTAAAAGACTTACTTTAAGCTTATCACAAAAGATTTTCAAATTACATGTATTCTCTTCTATAACATTTTTGAAATGACAGCAAGATGGAAAAAATCCTATCCTATATTATTAGTGCCATTTTAAACAATGCTGGAATGGCTGCACATGTACATGTGGATGCACGTGCTCTAGCAGGTCCTCATTAGGGAAAATTATAATCTGTATTGTGCATCTAAATTGACAGAACCTCCTTCACAGAGTCTAGCTCATAGTACACAGGATCTGATATAACTAGAGAAGAAAGACAAGTTTCTAAGCATAAATGCCTTATCTTAGACCTGGGATAAAAACAAAAGACCCCACACGGAAATAAAGCAGAACAATTGTTCTCAGTTACATATGTATGAATTACATGTAGGAAAACACCAATAAAGTATAAAACCCAGCTGGCCTAGTAAAATATATCACTTCTACCTACAAAATGCTCCTTGCCCTTGTTCTGACACCCACTCCACTCTGGCTATAGCAAAATACCACGGCTCCAGGGAGCCAGGAGAGCAGGCATAGCCAGCCCAAAAGAGATTTACTTGCCTAGATGTAAGCTAGACAGAGGCAAGCTGCAGTGCACTGTTACTGCATCTATTATGCTTTCAGCTATTCTCATGTTCACAACCCAGATTTTGCTAGCAATAAAATAGCTAGCAATAAAGCCATCGCTTGATGATTATTAAAATATTTTGCACAATTCAACTGTCTTTGTTACCAGATTAAAGTCAGAAATAGAAAAGGGTACCATATTGTGCTGCAAAAGCCTGTTTATAGCATCAAGTTAGTAAGTCAACATGTTAAGAGAAAGTATAGCAGAAGTCAAGGCACCACTGTCTTCATATTTAAATGCTTTTCTAGTTGAAAACCCATTTTAAACCTTAGCAAAAGGGGCAGAAAACCAGCTGAAGTGTAATGGTGGGTGGAACTGGATCACACTAACACTAAGCTTTTTGCAGCAATATTACAGGGTGAATTTCCAATTATCCCATTCTAAAGAAAACACAGGATGGGAAAGCAAACTTTCTCCGGGAAAACAACAAACAACAGCACTCTGACACATGACCCCTAGGAATCCCTACTCTTACCATTACATTTTTACTCAATTTACTAAACAGGAATTTATACACAGCCAATGACAAACTGCTACTTGGCTGACCTACTCCAGAAAGTTTAAGGAGTTTATGTGAAAGAATTTAAAACTTGGACACATCAGGATGGTCAAGTTATGATACAGGGGCAAGTCCATGATAGCTATTCATGCACAAGCTCAGGGAACACCAGTTAAGGAACTTAGCACAACTAAAACATGCACAGGAAACTGTCACCATGGATAAGTTGAGAAACTGTTGCCTGTGCCCTACCACTTGACATAAGAGCATCTTCTTGAAGTTCAGCAGAACACTACCGCAGACCAATGAAATCACCTGCCCTCCTTTTCCCTCCATGCAAATACCATGGTTTAGGCTTCACATCTGTGATTAAACCAGAGCAGTTTCCCATATAAACCCGTCCTATAATTACCTGATGGTAGACCTGCATGACCACTATGGTTACTCTGAAAGTTTGGGAGCTTTGGACTCTTTTTGTGTTGCTGTATTTTCCACAAATATACACAAATAAGCACCTTACCTGAATAGAAAATGTTGATTTTGGCAAGTTCTTTCTCACAGGTTTGGAAGAACTTCTCTTCAAACGTGGCAAAACATCTTTTCACTGTGTCTTCATCTGTGTCTATAAAACAAGTTTTAACAAAAGAAGATAAGAACAATTTTCTAAGTGACTGCCATGGAAATATTTCTTCAGAGTAAATCCACCTTCTTCATTATATAGAGAAGGAAGAACAATAAGGCCCTAAAGGTTCTGAGGGAACACATATTTGCTTATAAAAAGAATTATACAAAGATTAAGAGGTAAAAACTCATAAGCAGTAACTGCATCTTGGCCAAAGTTTTCATTATCTTTTTTGATCCTTCAAGTGTTACTGCGGATCTCACATCCTTCATTTCCAATTCCTAACCCAGCTTGTGCAACTGCACCTGTACAGCCATCCTGGATCAAGACTGCTCTTTATATCTACATGAACTTTTTTAAAAGGCATCTTACCTACCATCACAAAGTCACCCACTGCAAAGACGCACATCAGTGGAAAGGAAACACCACACTACATCCCCACCTGCCCACTTCTGCTGCCTCCAGCACCCTGAAGCCACCCCTCATCTGCCACATCAATCCAGAACAAAGCCACACAGCCACTGCAGGGGTGGTCTCCTTCCTCCCTCCCACACCACTTCTCCAACCATGTGGTAAGCCAAATCAGGGAAAGATCTTCCAACCAAAACAAAAGCAGATTAAGCAGCATCATAACCACTCTCAGCATGCTAGCACTATATGTCAGGGTTAAGTCACATTTACCCACCCAGAAGTTATTCTGCTCTCCAGTCTAGGGCACTGGCAAGTTCTCCAATTACTAACTTTAGTGAAATCAAACCTCTTTATCAAAGATAGGGTTTATGATCTTCTTATGTTCTTCCTCCCCCAGATATACTGCAGCAGAAAGCCAAGTACTATCAGTGCTGCATGTTCATGCCATGCCCTTTCCAGCTTGTCCATCACTTCCCCCAGAGATTCACCAGCATTCAGAACACTGCAGCACACTTTGCACTGGGACTTGTATAAGGGACCTAAACCTACCACAGGCACTGGCCTTGCTCTTGAAGAGCAAAGCTGCCTGTGAAAAGTATTCATCCTAACTTAGCAAACGGCATTTAGAAGTGCAGAGTTTTTAACTAAAGGCTTCATCTGACCTCCCAGGAGGACTCGCTGGTTCAGCTACCATTCCTCTCTTCTCATCACTGTAACCCTTCAAATATAAACCTAGCACCACAGCAAACTAAAATATGCCTGACAAGTACATGGGAAACTATGTGGAAAGTATCTTCTTCCCAGAAAAGAAAAACCTCATCTCACAAGCAAAGTTTAAAGGAAGAGGCCTAAATTACGGCAATCATGAACAGACCCACACTTCTCCCTCCCTGCTGCTCTGGGACTGTTCTAACTCTTGGAAAAGTTATGCACAATTTACAATTCCATAATTAAAGTAAAAATCTGATATTAAAGCAGCAATTTGGTCACTTTGTTATAAAATTACAGCACAGCATCTCCAGAAGGGTGGAACTTCAAAGGCAGAATGAATTTTCTAATAATTAAGAAATTAGTTTAATGAGTAAAAAATTAAAGACAACACACTATAATTACAAATTTTAGCACTGTTCTATCCAAATGTTGCTAATGCTGAAATAAAGCACTCTTCATAACCTCCATAGTTAGTTCCTCAATTTCAGCCTTACAGTCTGAAAAAGTTAGTGTTATTACAGAGAGAAAAAATAAGATTTTATTATAGCTTTAATAACATCAAGAAATAGATTTTGAAATACATGTTATTAAATTGAAAATATGAGTGTCTTCAGAAAAGTTTCACTTACTAGCAGATAAATAGACTATAATAACTAAGAAAACTTTTAGCATTAATTTTTTAGGTAAAAATCACCTCAGAGTAGTATTAATCACAAGAATATTTAAACACAAAACTTTCAGCATTCAAAATTTTCTATGCTTTAAAGAATGAAAGGGGAGGGAAAAACAAACAACAGTCTTGAAACAATGATGGGTGTTTACAATTCCACTATCCAAGGGCTTGTAGAAAAGGATTTGCAAGGGCTCCAAAGGCTGTTCCAAACTCCAGGTTTAGGCTCCTGGGGTCCCTTTATTACCTGACATTTATACTTGCAGATTCACAGCTACTCCCAAGGCCAAGGGCTCCCTCCCTTATGCAAACAAACCCTGAAATGACAGGGCTCCAACTCTTCTTTGCTGAAGAAAAGCCAGAGCAGCCCCGAGGTGTCATTACACCCCTGCTCGAGGTCATTGGCCCGGTGCAAACTTTGCAGAACTGAACATGTATGTGCCTCAACTGCTCCTGCTCAGCCCAATGCCTCAACACAGATCCCTCTGTGGGCAGCCTAAAACCAGAAGGACAGAAAATAACTCTTGCTTTGGGGCTGGTATCTTCTAACAGCAAAGTCACAGCAGTTGCGACATCCCACCCTGGAACCCTGAAAGGCCAATCTGAACTTGCCTGCAAGAGCTCTAATCCTTGACCCAACAGCCTCAAATTCAGGCAGACAAAACACAAACAGACAGTGAAGCAACAGAAATTACTATGCAATACTTAATATGCAGAGATTTTATTCACTAGCTGAAGCTTTTCAAGTAACAGTGACCAGGCAGTATTAAAACACAGCTGACCCTTAAGGAAGGACCTGAAGGGCAAATTCTTCAGCCCAAAGAGTTTACATATTTCTAGCAGAAAAACTTTCCTATACAGGCTTTCTGACATGGGGTAATCAGCATTTCCTGCCTTTAAAAATAAGTCATATAGAAATAAAAGCACACAGTGTTTTCCTGCTTCGAAAACACCAAACCACTTCCATCATCACTGGTTTCTAGGTTTCAGTATATTTACAAAGCAAAAATAAAACCAAGGAAGTTTTTAAACTTCAGACACTGGAACTATCCAAGAACTAACAACAACAACAAAAAAATCATCAGGAAGTTCTATGCAGTCAAAATATCACCTTTTAAAACAGGAAAAAGCTCAGCAAATTAACATGCTGTTAAACTAACATAATCAATGCCAAATACATTAAGAAATATCTTGTTTTGTACATTACTGACCACTTCAGGAAATGATAATTAAGTGTATTAAGCAGTTTGACTATCTCTGAAGTTTGGAAAAGGAAAATGGGCTTTAAAACACAAACCAACCACTACTGGAAGACCTTCCAAAAACCTTGAGCTCAGGAATTCCGGTCTCTATTTCAACCTCAAAACATCGCTGACTCAGAGGAAAACAAGTTCTATACAAACTATTCAAAATCCTTCTCCAAATGTCAAACACCTTCTTACAAAAGATTCTGCAGACCATGGTGGATGCCAGCTTTAAAAATCAGGATTCTCTGTGAAGAAAAGCTTTCCCTTTGGTCCCATTCCCACTGCAGTTCAGTCATTTAGCTGCAATAATAGACAAGTGCTGCCAAGGCTACTGCCTTTATTTATTTATTTTCCCCCCAAGGCTAGGACAGGACAACGTTTTTTGCCATGAGAAAATCAGTGCCAGAAACTGGCCTTGGATTCAGAAGCTCCATGACAACAGAAGCTGTTTTTAAAAGGCATCCAGTTATTGCTGCCAAGAAGGGCCAGCAGTAAGCTTCCTTTTGTCCTTTCTCTATAGCCCTAATTCTCCATTTACCCTAAGCTCCACGAAGTTGCCATGAACAAGGTTGCCAAGAAGATAGTCTGATCAATATTGCAGCTCCACAACCTCATCTTCCTATGCAATTTCCTGCTGTGAATAAAGTAAGCCTAGAAGGCTCCTGCTTTTCCTTGCAAAGCCAAGTAGTGAACCAGCAGTGATCTGGATGTACTCCCCTATCACCACACTTCCTAGTTTGCAGAGTTCAGACACTGGCAAACCTTAAATAGAACATGAAGTTAAAAATTAACATTCAAGTTATATTCTGACACTGTCTCAAGCACTCGTTTCTCAGCGCATCTGTCAACTGTTCATTCAATTTCTCATTTTCTGCAGATCTAGTGTATAAACAAATGATCAGCATCCTGATCAGCTTTACTTACTTCAATGCAAGAAAACACACAGTAAAAGTTTTCTATGTTAGAGCTGCACCCTCTAAAAGTATTCATTTAAAAACATCCTTCAGTCTATCATGCTGAATTTTAAGGGGCATTTAACTAATAAGTATTAATTAGCTTTGTTACGAGATCAGCACAGGTTTAGCTCTCCAAATCACCTTCTGTTTTAGCTGAGTAAGATTATTTCAACACTTCACCTAGAGAGGAGGCAATTTTATTTATCAGGAGGACTCTGCCATCTATTCAGCTAGAAAAAAAAGGTCAAACTCAACATTAGCATTAAACACATCAAATCATACTGAACAGGTGATCTTAAGTTTAACATCTGCACCATTTTGAATATGCTAAACTTTTAACATTTTCCACACCGTCCTTGGCCCCTTGCTAGCTAAAAGGCATGTACACAGGGCTCAAATAGGCCTAAAACTGTGCTCAGAAAAATTAACAAGGTTTAAAACACAGGTTCCTTGGTCCTTGTTCCCAGGTCTGTGAAGACAGTAACTGCTTATACTTGGAGGCTCAATGGCATATAGGGGAAAAAAAAAAAAAAGCCAGTTTCATTACTAGTCAAAATTCTAGCAAAGTGGGTCACTATAATGAAAACCCGTATCTGTTTCCAAACCTCCATCAGCTTTGTCTGTATACTCAGCCACGACAATTTTCTAACGCTCTTGACAGTTCTACAGCACCAAGATTATACAGCTCTCCAACCTTTTACACAGAGTAGTGGAAAATTTACAACTAGAATCAAACTGTGTAGTACACAAATGCAAGGATGACGATTACCTTTACACCTTTAATGAATCCTCCTCATGTTTATGGGGGTATTTTTCCAAGGGAAAGGTTCTTCCGTAAGGCAACTCCCTTCCTCACAACAGAAAGCCACACCTGGGTCAGCTGCAAATTGGATCACTCACTGAAAGCTTCCAATAGATTAATTACTCTCCGTGTATTTTCAGGTCCAATCTTGTGGTAAATAAAATTTGGTATGAGAAGACTTCTAAGTGCTTACAGAACAGATA